AAAAAAATGTGGCAAGTCCATGCATTTCGTCAAACTTTGTAATTATCAATATATCAAACATGACCTCCCATTTACAGTGTTATTGTCGTAGAGATGCATCAAATCTAAAATCGACCTACAGGGTCTTAAAGTAGAGATCTCAAGCTTTAATTTAAAAAAAAGAGCATAACTTTGCGATGATTTTTCACGGAGTTATCATCAGTCAAATTTGGCCAATTTTTGCCTAAATTTTTTCTATGCCATATTTCTTTTGAGCAGTGTAGAATGCAAATTTTTTAATATAGTAAGGTAATAATTTGATATTGTTTACAGGAGAAATCTAAACTGGAAGAATTGCGTAAAGTACCAGAAAAAAGCGCTAAAGATATTGAGGAATGTAATGAACTTATAGAGAAGCAAGAAAAAAGTAAAAAGAAGGAAGAAGCTATATTAGAAACGTTGATGACTGAAATACGTAAGAAAACTGAACCATTACTAAACGAACGTTCCCAATTTGAAAAGCAATTGATTGACCTAAGAAAAGATGTCGATCAAGCACAAGCAGCTGTTAACATTGCTCAATCTGAATTAGAGTTGTATACTTCTGTGGAATCCACTGAAAAAGAAAAATTAGAAAAATTAAAGAATTCTTTAAATGCGACAACAGAGAATTTAGAGGAACGAAAACAGCAGTTGCAGTGTTTAGAGAATGACATTCCGTCTACTCAACGTGAATTGGGACAAGCACAAAAAGAACTAGAAACAGTGAAAGCTCGTGAAATTGAAATAACTTCTAAACTAAAATCAATGAGGCTTTCATTTGAGGAACAGAAGTCTGCTATGCAAGCAAATACATCAAGAAATAGGATCATAAGTAGCTTAATGCGGGAAAAAAGGGAAGGCAGATTGCCTGGTGTATTTGGAAGATTGGTAAGTTAAAACATTGTGTCCAATTTGGTTCTTTAGAATAAATAGCTAGACTAAAGTGCATTATTGCATTAATTGTTATATACTGATTATAATTATACAGAACTTAAATCATGTTCTTTCGTGCAGGGTGATCTTGGAGCTATTGACGCAAAATATGATGTTGCAATTTCAACAGCTTGTGGTCCTTTGGATAATATTGTAGTTGATACTGTGGCGACCGCGCAAAAATGTATAACATTTCTTCGGCAGAATGATATAGGACGAGCAACGTTTATACCGTTGGAAAAACAACAACATTTATTATCGAGGTGTAAGCAAAAGATACAAACTCCCGAAAATGCTTCGAGACTCTTTGATCTTATTCGCGTTGACGACGAGAGAATATTACCAGCATTTTATTATGGTCTGCAAGATACGTTGGTAGTAAATGATTTAGATCAAGCAACGCGTATCGCTTATGGTCAAAGACGTTTTAGGGTAGTTACGTTAAAGGGCGAGTTAATTGAATTATCTGGTACAATGAGTGGAGGCGGAAGAACAGCGTTAAGAGGCAGAATGGGACAGAAATTAGTTAAAAACGATCTGTCCGCGGCTGATTTTGAAAAGTTGCAATCACATTTAAATAAAACAAACGAAGAGTGCAATCAACTTAGAGCTAGATCTCAGTTCTTAGAAAATCAAATTCATACGCTGACTGTAAATTTAAAGAATATGAAGGTTAATCAAGAAAAATTGCAGATCGAAGTGAATACGCTTGAAGAACAAAAGCCGTCGTTATTGACGCAACTTAAAATTCAAGAAAAGAAAGCTAAAGATTCGGTATCGGATCCAAAGAAGGTTGAACAGTTGAAAAAAGCATTGGACGCTGCTAAGAAAACTTTTGAAAAAGTCAAGGAAAACTCGACTGGTGTTGAGAAACAAGTGAAGTCTATCAATGATAAAATAGAAAGTTTATCAGGGGCTAAAGTAAAGACTCAGCAGAAGCAAATAACTAGTATAACTAAATCGATCGATTCAACTAAAGCTGAAATTTGTAGATTACAAGTTGCAATTAAAACAGCTGAAAGGAACGTGAAAAAGATTGAGCAACGCATAGAGAGTTTAGAAAACGATGTGGTTACCTGCGTAGAAAGACTTCGTGAAATTGAAAAAGAGAAACACGAATTGGAGGAAAAAGGGAAAGAGTATTTGAAAGAACTCGATGAACTTACAGAAGCGTTATCTGAAAGAGACGAAGCTACAAAATCGCTAAAAGAAGAATTGAATGCTTTGCAAACCACGGAAAATAAATTAAAAGCAGTTAAAATAGACCTCGATCAAAAAATGAAAGAATGCAAAAGCGTGATAAAAGAGTTAAAACACAGAATTCCAGAATTAACAAAAAGGATCGCTCAGCTACAGCTTCAAGCAATACCCGGCGAAAATCCGGAAGAATTGAAAGAATTAACGGAAGAGGAACTCAGTAAAATAGATGAAAAGGTTCTTTCAAATAATTTGCAGAAAGCTAAGAAAAGGTTACCCACAGAAATTCCAAACATGCAACTTATTAACGAGTACAGAGAAAAGGATGCATTGTATTTGAAGCGTGCAGCAGATTTAGAACAAATAACAACTAAGCGTAACAGAATAAGAGATATTTATGAAACAGTCAGACGCAGGAGAATCGAAGAGTTTCTTGCAGGTTTTACTGTAATCACAGATAAACTAAAGGAAATGTATCAAATGATTACATTGGGAGGTGATGCAGAGTTGGAATTGGTTGATTCTTTAGATCCATTTAGTGAAGGAATCGCATTCAGTGTAAGACCGCCTAAAAAATCTTGGAAAAATATTTGCAATCTTAGCGGTGGAGAAAAAACCTTGAGTTCTTTAGCTCTTGTGTTCGCATTACATCATTACAAACCAACACCTCTGTATTTTATGGACGAAATAGATGCTGCATTGGACTTCAAGAATGTTTCGATCGTTGGAAACTATATTAAAGAAAGAACGAAAAATGCACAATTTATAGTTATATCTTTAAGATCAAATATGTTTGAACTTGCCGACTATCTTGTTGGTATATATAAAACATACAATTGTACAAAGAGTTGTACAGTCGATCTGAAGAAATATTATGATAAAAATGGAATCGCTCCTCCAACACAAATCACTTCCAAGAGTATGTATTCGTCACAGGTACAGAAATTTAGTCAGCATCATAAGGATAATGCAACACGGAACGCGAATAATGTACAAGTCGCGGACGAAAATCGAGAAATGAATGGAAATGACCCGCTTCAGTAAGTTGGATGAATTTCTCAGTTTTAATTTGTAAAATTATATTTGTTTAAATAATTAATTTAAATTCATATTAGTATTTTTTATTATTATAATTACTGTACATTGTAATATTGTCTATAAATGATCAAAAGAGAGATTTTACAAATAACAAAATTTACTTCTTTTTAGTATTAACATTTTCTTTTATTAAGATATGTTAAATCTGAAACATTTATGGAATTATCAAAATTCAAATTGAATGAAAAACAAAACTTTTTGTTTATTAACTTCAGTAAAGTTATAGGTAGATTGCAAGTGTTTATACATTTATGGTATGTGAAAGTCTGCAAAGTATATATGCAATTGCGAAGCACAAAGATCAGTCCATTACATTATTTACATATAATTTGTCTTTGATATAAAGTGCATAAATATCTGCGCTGTAGTGATAAGAATCATTAAACATGACATAATTTAATGTATTTTCTGTTGTTACAGATTACCTGAGTTAGGATTATGTCCAACGCCCAAAAAAGTGGTGCATAATGATCCTAAGAGAGATAGTACAAGTTCAAAAAGCGATAACGATATTTCTAAACAACCTTTGAGAAAAAAACGTAGAACATAAGGTATAATATAAATGTATATGTATGTACATTAATATTCTCATGGAAATCTTCTTATCAACCGTTTCAAGGTTTGCAATGTTAGGAAAGACTTTTTTTAAATGCTTTACATAAATGTTTAATACAGCGTAATGACAATACCTTCTTTAACAAAAAGTAAATGTAAATTAGTTGCTTTAAATTGTGACATAGGAAAAGTTTACAGATAAACTAAGCAAGATATAATTGAAATAAACAATAATAGTATCTACGTGAATAAATAATGATAGTTTCTAAGTTTCTATATTTTATTTTATTTCCGTTTGCTGTATTATATACTGTTTATAATTTGGAAATTTCTAATTTTGTATTGAAGCTTAATTAGTAAAAATTCTATATAAATTTTTCATGAATATTTTTAATACGAAAGGATTATTTTACTGTACATTGTACATAGTAGTCAATGAGAACTCTAACAACTAACCATTTCGTTATAAAATATTTCTGAAAAGTTTGTTGTTATTTTTAGAAAACTTTAAGCTTCAAATTGGTATACGCAGCTCAACTAACAAATTCATCTGGCCTAAGGCCTGTGCTTTCGCCATCTTTTTCAGCGACCAGTAACCGGTAATATTACCTTGGGGAATGATATGCCGATAATAGGCATTCAGATCTTCATTCACCCCTCTTGATGGAATCCGAATGTTTTCCGGTTCGTTGCTAACTAATAGCGGTTCTGCCGGCGCACGCAAATTCAACCACGCCATCGACGAGTTAGGAAGATATTTCTGAATTCTATGGAGAAATACATTTACCTCATAGATGTCTCTTCGCAGAGGTTCCGTATGCTCGAAGTTTTCCGGCATAATTTCATAGGAATTTTGAAGGATGTGATTTACGTCGAATATGGCCCCAGTAGAATTTGCTTCACTAAAACTACGCCTGTTGTTTATTGGCGCTGGTTAGCCAGTGCGACGACAGTTCTTCGGAAGTTCGACAGAAGTGTCTCTGGTCTCAGGATACAACGTCTATCACGCGATACTTATGTTGGTGTGGACATTTGGAATGTATATCCATCACTAGTTACACTCATAGCGTTTATTATACGCTTAATCGGCTCAGACATGAGTGTAACCGTACGTACTAAATTGGTAAGATGCATGTCTTCATTGTAATGATATGTTTCTTCCGAGTTTTGGAGGACTAAAGTATATGTTCTTCGGGCCAGCAAAAGCTTGACCTCCAACGGAGCCAGAGAAACACGATAGACACTATAAATATTGGGCATATCCACATGTTTTATACTAAGTACTGAAAAATATGTTAAAACTATTCCAAAACCAATGCCCCTTGTTGCGATAGGTAAAGTAACTGCAACAGGCATTTGCCCATCTTCGATACGGTCCAATACGGCGTCCATCGTTGGCAGGCCAGCGGCTAATTGTTTTCTAACCGCATCCCGAATCTTCGTTTGCATATCTTGTTCTTATCGTCGCTTAAAATCATCATTACGACACGGCTGCCCACACGATTTACTCGACCAGTTGGATTATGGGTGGTGTCTTTCGGAACGTAAGTTCCTCAAAGCCCGCACGTGCATTGTACGGCCGTTCACTCCCTGCTGCGTTCATGCTCGGTATGCGAAAGAGTATAAACTCTGGGTCTGGATCCCTGAAAATTCGCAATACTATTTCATAGTATTTTTATGTTATCAAATTGTATCAAACTTTGATGTCTCAAAATTAAGTTCATATAGCAACTAATACATCACAAACTTAATTCTGTCAATATAAAATAAGACTAATAGACTAAATTGCATAAAATGTGTGGTCGTTAAAGTGTTAAAATGTATGCTCACACAAACAAAAGCTATCTTCGATAGCCCGGTGGTATTTTGCTAGTTAGGTAATGTAAAGTAAACATTCTTTATTTGATGAATTCTTCATTTTTTCATTAATAAGTATATGTCTTGAAAATAGATGATAGAACAAGCTCAAAATGCGTTTCATGTTTGAAAAGTACAAAATGATTTTTTCGTAACTTAAATTTTCATGTACAGAGTTGAGCTTATCCAAAAAAAAAAATGATGTAAAGAGGCCACAAAATTCAACTTAATTTTTGGACAGTGGATCAGCGCAATATTGACAACCTTAATTTTAGAAATTCTCCCAGTGAGAAAATTTAATCACATAATTTTACTCGAAGTAACTTTGTACATATATATTATGCTCATCCTTGTATATGTTGTAGGATTAGGTCACGATTGACCCTGCATTCGACGGATAATACAGATTTGTAGCTTATAGGCATAAGATTCGTTGGCATTGGCGTACACAGAATTTTAATAAATTCTCTAGATTTAGTAACGGCAGTGCCTTACACTAGGCGGAAATAAGCGAGTTTTGGAAATTTTACAATTTAGAGATTTAAAAATTCAGAAATGTAGAAATTTGGGAATTTGAGAATTTCAAAATCTGTAACTTTGAAAGTTTCTAAATTTCTAATATAAAACTTCTAAAATTCTTGGTTATACCAATGCATATACGTTGTCTTACAAAAAATATTAAATTGTGCCTATCACTCTTATTGTAAATTCTAATAATATAAATTTTATATATATATGTAAGTTAATGTATGTATATTGTTATGTCCAAAAATGTTCTTTCACATGTTCATCGACGTTTTTCACAAATTGAAATAGTTGTAATTTAACGTTAAAAAATAATTAAAACGTATTTTTATAAGTCACGAAAAAAATGGAAACAACGTATGCAATACAATATTTTTTATACACGTACTATCTATTATTATAGAGAGAAAAGAAATAAAGAATAGAGTTATTTAAACACGTTATTGACTTGTCTTTGGCACTATCGATCCGCTATCAGAAACGGAACTTTATCTGTGGGGAATTTAGTAATACAATTAACGCTTCCCAAGAAAATATGTTTTTATATTCAATCTTCATTGAGTCTGTCGATCGTTATCGATTTATCAAGAGTAATTCGATAAACAATTTATCGGCCTGTTTGTTCACCGAGACACTTTTTCTTGGGACTTCGGTAAAACGGATATTGAAAACTACTATTAACAAACTTAAACTTTGTTGAAGTTTTTATGATACTCAAATATTTGTGATGCATTTATAGAGTTTAAAAAGTTTCTCTATTGTCATCAAATTTTATAAAATTTTAGTTCGACAATTTTTTCGATAAGCAATTGAATTTAATTTAGATTGTTTAAATTTCATTTTTGAAAATATTAATAATAGAATAGAAAACTTTTACACATTGATCATATTTTTCACAATAACAAATGTCAACAATTGCTGTAAGCCCAGTGTTAATAGTTATTAACTAATTATTATTATTATAATTATTAGCTATATAATAGCTGAAAGTTTAAATATACTTATATAGATAAACTTAAAATATTTAGCAGAAAGTAAGAAAGTAGTTTCTTCAGTAAAGATGAGACATGCGCATAGTTCGTAATGCACATGCGCATTAAGAATATCTATAACGTATTTTAATTTAGAAAAAAGGTTTTTTAAGAAAACCTCTTTTTTCATATTTCCTTCTGTTTTCAATAAATACCTGAACTATGGCAATGTTTGAAACTTAAGTAATTAAAACTGGATTTGTAGCAATTCTCTTTTATGCTGAAGAAAGCTACTTTCACCGGATAACTCGTTTCCTGAAGATACGTAACTTTTGTCTAAAACATTTCCTTGCATCAATATTTTCAAAGGTATTTAAACAAATCGATTCAACTAAGACACCCGGTATATATAGATCAATTATCTCAAAACTTGTTTCTTACAAAAGCTATGAATAATTGCACCGTACCTCTCCTTCACATTCACTGACATTGGCTTTCATATAAATGCTCCTTTTATAAACTAAAAGCAATTTTTCAAAACGTGACATTAATAACCGTTTCTACTCTTAAATTTCGTTTACGCCAAAACGTTGGAGATGTAAATCATACACACATAGTGTAACTTAGTGTGTTAAGTCGAGTAGTTTCAGTGCTTCTTGCATTGTAACTTATGTTGGTGCAAATGGAACAGTAAGTCAGAGTCGCCCTTGGAAAGAAACAGGGATTCCCCTTATTTAGAATCTTTTCTCAGGATGAGCCGGTTTTTTATGTACGCAATCACTACAGATTCCAGGTAATGTAGAGTTCAGTGGCCGACAAATACACTATTCGATCGCTTTCACGTAAGCAGGGACGTAAGAACTCGACATTGCATCGTCTTTGAGGAAGATTGTTTATGTTGCATATTCGCGACATCTTGGTGAAGGTCTTTGCAAGTAGGGGAAATCCTGCTTTAAGACGTAATGCTTTCCTGCTTGACGCTCTTTCATTTTTTTCTTTCAGGGAGTTCCATTGATTCATCGTGAAATTAATTTTTAATATTAGAAATTTTTTAAATTATAGAAATTCAAAAATTTGGGAAGTTGAAGACACGAGCAGTAAGAAATTTAGAGATTTTAAAATTTGGGGACTGTGAAAGTTAAAAATTCAGAAATTTAAAGACTTGGAAATTTGAAAATTCTAGTTTTGAAATTTTTATACCAAAATCAGAATCTTGCAAATTTTCAAATTTTTGAACTATCCGACTTTTCAAATTATTAAATTGTAAAATTTTTCAAATCTTCAAATTCTCAATCCAAAAACCTCAAAGCTTCAAACATCTAAATTCTAAAATTTCAGAACTTTTAAATTTTCATATTCTCAAACTCCTAACTACGTAAATTTTTAGCATTTCAAATATTGTAATCTGAAAATTTTTAAATCCTTACATTTTCAAATACTCAAAATTTAGAATGCTTTAAATTTTCCAATTTCTAGATTTTAATTTTAATTAATTTTAATTATTAATGAATTTTTAAATTTCTATATTTCTGAAAAGTACAAATTTACAAATTTCTTATTACTAATCGCCTGAATTCCCAAATTGTTTCAATTGTAAATTTTCAAATTTACAAAATATCAAAATTTACCAACTATCCAAATGAAACTTTTAAAAATACAAATTTCCAATTCTTAAATTTCTAAATATTTTAATTTTTAGATTTCTACATCCAAGTATCAAAAATCCTAAATTATTAAATATTAAAAATTTTAATGTATCTAAACTAAATTTAGAAATAAAATAAACAATCCTAAATTTTAAATCTTCAAACTCTGAATATTGCAAATCTAAAATCTCAATACATATTGTGTGGAATTCTAACATTGTTATAGTGACACAATAAACATCATTTATTTAACTCACGTGTAAACAAAAATAAATTACACTACTAATTAATGGTTTCATGGTTTTAGGTTCCATTTCTAAATTTTAAGAAAAAATAGTTATAAAATAATTTTGTATTTCAAACTTTCAATGTAATTGAAACCTTATACGATTAATATACACATTCATATTGTTAATATTTCAGAGATTAGTCTATTTTATTACTGAAAATGTTATAGTAAAAATATTGTATTTTTCATTGCATGTTTTTCAAAATTTATAAAAATGTGTTTTTGATCTCTAAGAAATGATACTAATAAATACAGTATTTTATTTGTAATATTAATACTAATGAAATAACAAAATAAAATAAGTTACAAAATAGTATAAAGTAATATTAATAACTAATAGAATAAAAATAATACTAATAAAACAGGAAAGTAATAAAATAAAATGAAGCAAAATAATAGTAAGTAAAATAATAAATAAACATCTTCTATTAACAACATTTGTTTAGTACTTACAATTTGTTAATAAAAGATTAACAGTTAAATTAGTGATGCTAATAAAATAATAAATGAGCATCTCATTAAAAAAATTTGTTTAAAGGAAATTTACATTTGCAATATTTGCAAGATAAAACGTTTTCAATAAGTCTTTCAATTATAAAATGTCAAAAATTTCAAGAAAGTACTACATTTACAAAAGAATACAAGGACTTGATTACTGCTGCAACAAGAAGCGATACAATTAAGAATAATTGATTATTATCATGAAATATCGAAAACCTTCAAATATTCTGAACATCGAAATCTTCATGTCATACACTCAAAGATTGTCACAAAGCAAATTGTCCGTTTTCCAACGACGAAATAACATTTGTTGCAAAGCAAAAAGGAGACCTGGGAGAGGTGGCGATCGTAGATCGGTGGGGCATAACATGTGCGATATAAGTATCATCGAGTAACAGATTAGAATTTGAGCAGTTCACAATTGACAGTATCAGAAATTACAGCCATGAAGAGCAAGGAGGCTTCAGAGAATGTGGAAAATGAGTCTATAAAAATGCCAGGTATATCCGTCATTTTTCCGGCTTTTATTTCGTTTTTTGTTGAATTAAACTTTCTGTTTAATTGATGTTACTTAACAAAATTATGCAATTCGTGTATACAAACGAACGAAATAATTCTCACAATTTCAGAGTCACTTTTGTTTATATTAATTATTATAGTCAGTGTTACTGCTTTTATTTAGTATTGTTAATTACACTGTGATAATATAAGTATTTACTGTTATTATACATTAATATTATACTATAATGTTACACATAATTTTACACATAATATTACACATAATTACCATTGTAATATTTTCTTATATTTATTACCAATATTGATGTTGATTATTATTCGTATAATTACGGTTTATTTTGATTATAATTAATATTACACTGATTTTATAATTTCACTAATATACTGTTATTATAATAATACTAATGTTGCACTGATAATATAATTATACTGTTATAATATTTACTTATATTCATTATAATTAATATTAATGGTTATTATTATTCATATCACTTATAATTATGGTTTATTTTTATTATAGTTATTGCACTGACTTTATAATTTCACTAATATTACACTGTTATTATAGTTACACTAATATTGCACTGAAATTATAATTATATTGTTGTAATATTTACTTAAATTTATTATAATTAATACTGATATTAATTATTATTATTCGTATTGATTATTATTACTCTTTATTTTAATTACAGTTATTACACTGATTGTATAATTTCACTAATATTGCACTGTCATAATTACACTAATATCACACTGATATTATAATCACACTAATATTACACTGACACTATGATTACACTGTTGTAGTATTTACTTATATTTATCACTATTGATCTTGACGTTGATTATTATTAGTTATAACTGCGGGTTATGTTGCAATAGGATTACAAAAATATTGTGTTACACTCGTGTTACGTATTGTCTGAGCTATCTAATGTTCCATGAATTTTGCATTAGTGAATATCTTCGTACATTTTTGTACATATATCTTAATACGTCTCTTTCATGTTTATTTTTTTAATACATAACTGATAACGGAACTGTCTCAGACCCTTATCGATATAATATAATGTACAAAAAGCAAAATACGCAGTGATTAACTGTTCGCAATATTTCACAAGATCGATGACGATTGATTTTAATTTTGTCTCAACCGAGATATTTTTTCGTTACAAAAATAGTGAATCTTTAATACAAAAGTATCGAAAATATTTTTTGAACTTATCAACAAACGTAACAGGTGATTTCTTCTGTATTACGTAAAAACTGCAATCTCTTTTCCTTGTATCTTGTCAAACTTAACACTTGAGTAAATATAATTTATCAGTAAGATTTTTTGAGATACCGGGATCTTGATGGTCCAGTAGATTATAGACCCCTGATGGCAAAAATGCGAAACTTTGAAAACAAACACTGTTGTTATATTACTTCATAGAAAAAAATAAATACAATGTTGTTAAATTTTAAAATTACATATTGTCACACTTTTTTCAAGATATTTTTTGTAAATTCAGATAAGTTTTGCGACGTCACTCTAAATACAAAATATTTTACACTGCAGAATGTACTTTATAGCAGAAGGAATATTTTGAAGAGGAAAGTATGAGAAAATGATGCTTTAGTTCAAAACCTTGCAACACCGTATTTGTATACAAACGTGGCTACTGTCCTTGCTCTTTCAGTGTGCAACTATGCAGCAAACGAACATTGGTAATCCTTGTTCTAATTTCTCAATTTCGTCGCATGAGGTCCTTAAAGTCGATTTTGACTTGATTTACCATGCTTATGTTTTGTTATCGACATAATGTACTATGAACGCTGATATCTTTTTTATTAAAAGAAATATTTTTAGTTTCAATATAAGATATATATAAATCTGTCTTATTAATATTTAGAAGAATTTATTAAGTTATTGTAATTATTAAATCACTGAAAAAAATATCATTGCGAATTAGTGTAAATAAAAACAGTGCATGATTGATGTTTCAAGATTATAAAATATCTTGATTGTATCGTGATTATAAATTATATCTTCATTGTATTGATATGATTAAAATATCTTTAGCATATAATATAAAATAATAAAATTCTATCTAACTTATCCTTGTAATTCTAGAATAAAATCTGTCATATTGTAAGAATTAAATATTTGAATAACCTCAAAATTAAAAAGATTATTTAATTTCACTAATATTACACTGTTATTATAGTTACACTAATATTGCACTGAAATTATAATTATATTGTTGTAATATTTACTTAAATTTATTATAATTAATACTGATATTAATTATTATTATTCGTATTGATTATTATTACTCTTTATTTTAATTACAGTTATTACACTGATTGTATAATTTCACTAATATTGCACTGTCATAATTACACTAATATCACACTGATATTATAATCACACTAATATTACACTGACACTATGATTACACTGTTGTAGTATTTACTTATATTTATCACTATTGATCTTGACGTTGATTATTATTAGTTATAACTGCGGGTTATGTTGCAATAGGATTACAAAAATATTGTGTTACACTCGTGTTACGTATTGTCTGAGCTATCTAATGTTCCATGAATTTTGCATTAGTGAATATCTTCGTACATTTTTGTACATATATCTTAATACGTCTCTTTCATGTTTATTTTTTTAATACATAACTGATAACGGAACTGTCTCAGACCCTTATCGATATAATATAATGTACAAAAAGCAAAATACGCAGTGATTAACTGTTCGCAATATTTCACAAGATCGATGACGATTGATTTTAATTTTGTCTCAACCGAGATATTTTTTCGTTACAAAAATAGTGAATCTTTAATACAAAAGTATCGAAAATATTTTTTGAACTTATCAACAAACGTAACAGGTGATTTCTTCTGTATTACGTAAAAACTGCAATCTCTTTTCCTTGTATCTTGTCAAACTTAACACTTGAGTAAATATAATTTATCAGTAAGATTTTTTGAGATACCGGGATCTTGATGGTCCAGTAGATTATAGACCCCTGATGGCAAAAATGCGAAACTTTGAAAACAAACACTGTTGTTATATTACTTCATAGAAAAAAATAAATACAATGTTGTTAAATTTTAAAATTACATATTGTCACACTTTTTTCAAGATATTTTTTGTAAATTCAGATAAGTTTTGCGACGTCACTCTAAATACAAAATATTTTACACTGCAGAATGTACTTTATAGCAGAAGGAATATTTTGAAGAGGAAAGTATGAGAAAATGATGCTTTAGTTCAAAACCTTGCAACACCGTATTTGTATACAAACGTGGCTACTGTCCTTGCTCTTTCAGTGTGCAACTATGCAGCAAACGAACATTGGTAATCCTTGTTCTAATTTCTCAATTTCGTCGCATGAGGTCCTTAAAGTCGATTTTGACTTGATTTACCATGCTTATGTTTTGTTATCGACATAATGTACTATGAACGCTGATATCTTTTTTATTAAAAGAAATATTTTTAGTTTCAATATAAGATATATATAAATCTGTCTTATTAATATTTAGAAGAATTTATTAAGTTATTGTAATTATTAAATCACTGAAAAAAATATCATTGCGAATTAGTGTAAATAAAAACAGTGCATGATTGATGTTTCAAGATTATAAAATATCTTGATTGTATCGTGATTATAAATTATATCTTCATTGTATTGATATGATTAAAATATCTTTAGCATATAATATAAAATAATAAAATTCTATCTAACTTATCCTTGTAATTCTAGAATAAAATCTGTCATATTGTAAGAATTAAATATTTGAATAACCTCAAAATTAAAAAGAGAAATTAAAAAATAAATATTAAAAAGTTATTTATATTGCTAATAAATAAATTTTGAAATGAACAAGTACAGTTTTTTTAAAAATGTTGAAATAAAATGAAATTAATTTCTATTTACCTTTCGTGAATTGTTTGAGATATTTTTTTTTGTGATTTTATCAAACAAGTTAATTTAGTCAGCCGTGTGCAACGGAGCTCAACACTTCCTTCTCTAGCTGACTCTTCCTTTAAAATAGATTGTAACAAAAGAGGATAAATTCCATAGCGTACCTCGTCAATCATAAACCTTTTTTGTTTGAATCTGGTTAGGGGAAGGGAAACGAGGAGGAGGAGAATAGGAGTTTTGCTGGACAAGGTTGATCGAACGATACAGTGATATAATAAAAACGTGAATGCACCATTGACGTAACTAGGTAGGGAGAAAGAGACCTTGCACCCCCCCAGAATATGGATCGAGATTCCCCACCTAGTGTGAAGGATATAGGACGAAGGATATCTCGTATAGATCGTGTTAGAAGTTTAAAATAGTTTTGTATTTTATGAGTTTATTAAATTATTCAACTTTTACGTACGTGGAATATTAAACTCTTATGTTGAAATTAAATTAGCAAACTTTTTAACATCTAAATATCTACATTTGTAAATTTCTAAAGAACAGGATGTCCACACTTTTCAACTAGATTCACAAATCCATAAAGTACTAAATTACTAGATTATTATTAGATCACTAAATCACTAGATTACTAAATTAATAACTTACAAAATTACAAAATTCCTAAATTATTAAATTACAAGATTACTAGATTACTAGATTACTAGATTACTAGATTACTAGATTACTAGATTACTAGATTACTAAATTATTGAATTATTAAATGACTAAATTACTAGATTACTAGACTACTAGATTACTAGATTAATAAATGACTAAATTACTAGATTACTAGGTTACTAGATTACTAGATTACTAGATTACTAGATTTCTAGATTACAAGATCACTAAATTACTAGAATACTAAATTACTAGAATACTAAATTACTAGAATTATAAATTACTAAATTACTGAATTAAAAAATATTCAAATGTTTAACATTTTAAATTAAAAAATTTCCAAACCCCTAAATTTCTAAGCTCTCAATTCATCAAATTTTCAAATTTCCAACTTTTCAAATTACTAATTTGCTAATGAATTGAATTATGTAATAAATTTCTAGATTTCAAAATTTTTATATTCTTAAATTCTCAGTTCTGAAGTTCTCAATTTTTGAATTAGGATAATATAATGATCGATTAATATTTAGCACTAAAAATTTTAATAATTTTATTTTATTTTAACTTTTGAGTTACCAAAACTATTAAATTATTAAATGGTCAATATTATCAATATTATCAAATTAGTGAATGGTAAATATTATCAATATTATCAATTACTGAATGGCAAATATTATCAATATTATCAAATTGTTAAAAAGTATATACATATAATCTACATTATCAAATTATTAAATGGCCATCATTATCAATACTATCAAATTATTAAATGGCCATCATTATCAATACTATCAAATTATTAAATGGCCATCATTATCAATAAATGGCCATCATTATCAATAGCCATCATTATCAATACTATCAAATTATTAAATGGCCATCATTATCAATATTATCAAATTAATGTTCTGAATGTTCTCTTTATAAAGCTGATCAAATTGTCAGGTTATTAAGTGATCAAATTGATTAAAATTAGCAAAATCATAAAAATGACCCAATTAAGTGATCAATATTATTAAAGTTACCAAAATGTTCAGAATAATTAAAATGATTATCAAATTTTTAAACTAACAAATTTCCAGGTTGGCAAATTTTTGATTGTAAAATATCAATTTCTAAATTTTAGTCTCATATTTTCAAACACTGCATAGTTATATTCTGATGCACAGCTCTGAAGTGTGTGTGTGTCAATTAATCTAAAAATCTTCATTACGCCAATGTGTGTATGTTTGAATGCGTAAAAGTCAGTATCGTGTAAACTTTGATAAACCGCAGATAAAAAAGATGTTCAAATTCCCGTCACTTTCGATAACTTTTCTTCGTTCTATTCAGTTAATACTGATCTTTCAGTTTCATGCAATCTAACACTTCATGCTGTAAGTCGCAATACTTTAAGCCAGTATTTCTCAACCTCTTCTGTTACTTGAAACATATTTGTTTGCAAAAGCATGTTTAAAATAATAAAAACTTAAAACTTAATGGACTAGAGTTAATGTGTATTATAAAAATAAATAAAATGTATATGAGAACAATTTTCAATAATTTAAAAAAATAATTTTTAAAAAAATGTATGAAAATCTATGCAAATTCATCAATGACAATTTATAACAGTCTATAAAAATGTATAGAACTATGAAAATTTATGAGAACGTATGAAAATATATAACAATCTATGAAAGTTATAAAAACTTTTTACTTTATGGAAGTTTGTAAAAAAATTGTTGAAAATTTCTAAAAATATATAAGATTTTATGAAAATTTATAGAAATCCATGAATCAATAAATCAACGAAAATCAACAAAAATTTGTAAATTTATAATTTCCATTATAATATAAAAATATGTAAAAAGAGATTTTCAATTTCATTTCCAATTATTTAAATTTATTAATAAAAAAGCGAGATTAATGATTTACAACGAAACATTATTTCATTCTAAAAATTATTATAAAAATTACTAAAATGGTTTGAATAAGATTTACTCGCAATTAATAAATAAATTGTGTATAAATAAAATAACAAAATATAATACTAAAACCATTTTGTTATTTTCTTCAACCAATTTATTCATGTTTAATTCAATAAAATTAAAGTTATTCTTATTATTGAATTTATATTGCTTCGGTAAAGGCGATCCACTGACGTATTTAGTCTTCAAGGAGCCTTACGCTTTACGGATCGAGAAATAAAATGAAAATGAAAGATCAATTATGAAGTCATTGAACTGAGAAATACACTGCTCAAGTTTATTTATAACTGCAAATATAAAACTTAAAATTAACATTAAATTTAGTTTGCTACACAAGTGATATAATTCAAATGCAACAAACAAAATATAAATAGAAACATTTTTTCAAACTATTTACCTTAATACGTTATTTCATACAAAATGCACGAATTAATCGATATAAACGAAAATAATACATAATGCAACATGAAAGAGGATGCCTTTGTATTTTTTTTTACCCATCGTTGCAATTATACAAAAAATTGTTTGAATTAATTAAAAAAATTCAAAAATAAGTAATAAGAGTAATAACTCTGGATTACAGTATCATTTATCTTCCTCTTCAACGGATTTTTCCTATCTTTTAATTTCTGATATAATTTGTCACAGTTACGTCACGAAATTTTTTGTTTTATTGTCGGACATATTATAGTATCTGCATTTATTCTTTTATCTGTATAGATTTATTTACAAATTTCTATGGAATTTAAAAAGTATTTATATCATTTATAGATTGTTATATATATTTATACGTTGTTATAAATTTTCATAGAGTTTTACACATTTTTAGAGATTGTTATAAATTTTCGTATGTAGGCCGCCATTTTGGGTCTTTTAGCTCGAAATTTTGAGGGTAGGCACCTGAAATCTTGCAAATTTGCTGTATAAATTTTTACGGCGATTTTACGACAAAAACTTGCCATCATCGACAACATTCCAGATACTAACAAAATCGCTGAATATAAAAGGTTAGGTTAATTATAATTATAATTAGATTAATCATAATCATATTAGACACTTAATATGCAGCACCTGATAATTTTATAAAACTTGAGGCAACTGAGTTATTGCAAAATAGGAGTAATAATGTAGGGGAATATTCTCATAACTATCACATACTCTCGGCGCAACTCTGAAGAGTTGAAGATGGCTGCCGTTGATTTATAATAATTATTTTATCTTGTACATGCAGATTATCAAATTGCTACATTCCTTCTAAAACACAGTAAATGTCAACTCCACTTGTTTTTTCTGCCGTTTGAATATTTCTTGCCAAATTAAATAGTATTTATTTAACACGTGAAATGCGTAAATGCATCGTGCTAGAAATTTGTGACATACAATTTTATGGAAACTTAATAGGTTACATAATATGCAATAGCTAATTAATACTGTGTTGTAGTATTATTAGATCCGTTAAATCTATTTTCTGTGGGCAAATATTATAGGGATAACCATGTGCAGTAATATACTTCATGTATTTTCAATAAATACGGTCCGTGGCCTTGGAATTAGGACCACGTACGAAAATTTCACTTTTATAGCTATAACTTTATAATATATGGAAAATTGTCTTAGATCATGCAAATTATTACTAAATACGATGTTAACGATATATACATAACAATTTGTTACTATCGTGATAATAAATTCTGTAGGTGATGAGCGATTAAGGGTCGTGCGAGCGTTTACCTTAGTCTCGAGTATCGATGGCGCGTCAGGTGAAATTTGGTGAACGCCATAGAAAATGGAGCTTGTTCGAAAGACTAGCTTACAAAAGAATTACAGATATTTGGGAAAATAGTGAAAATATAAAACATATGATCAATGTATACGTAACATGCGCTGTGACCAAAGCAAAGAAAATACAAGATATTAACTTGTGTTAATAATGTTATGTACAGTAGTAATGTTACTAGCTAATAAATATTACAATTTGAAGAGGCCTTTTTATTTTACGGAAAACGTGAAGAATGCTGAAAATTTATAGTGGTCTTTCGATAGCTATAGACTGTAGCATCGATTAAAACTATGTTAAAGTTCTATAACTCATCGTTGACGTCAATTCTTCGTCATCTGTCGTCGTGAAATCAACAAGTTTGGTACCCTCTTTGGTTGCTTCAGACACGTTTAATTTGGAATGACCTTAAAATCTTTCAATTTTATTGTTATATCTTTATGTTAACAGCAGGTACTCGAAATTTTAAATATACATTCGATTTCGCGTGAGGAACCTAGTGGACCTACTACTTGTATTATAGGGCTCTAAGTAACCCCTTTAATAATTGCGTGTTGATACGCTGCTGCAGCTACCGTTTCGCGAAATAAAGGTTGAGAAACTCTGTTCTAATCAGCAAGATTAATGTAATAAAACCGTGGAATTTTCCTGTCTTACTTCAATGCAAACGATTTGTTTTACGATTGATTAAAACTGATTTTTGCAATCTTAATCTTTGAATGTTTACAACAATTTATTTTAGCGAAATCTATGTTAGAGGAATGAGACATAAAAGTCATAGAATTTACAGAAATAATTACTTTTATCATTATCTAAAAGCATACGGCTTTATCTTCTGAAATTTACAATGTAAAACACAGCATTTTTTGCTATTTGATTAGATATTTAGTTTGAAAATTTTCCACAATTCTTTTGTTCAACTTTGGTGGACGAGGCAAGGTGAGAAATTATGGATGAAAAAATGAAGTTTTTAATTAAATATCAGTTGTTATGGGCTTTATGTGATATTTTACTGTTTAAATAAAATACCATCAATCATTAAATGTACTAAATATTAAATACAATAATTAACAAAAATATTAATAGAAATTAATAAAAATATTAAATATTATTATTATTTAATTATATATGCTAAAATATATAATTATAGTTTATGCGTTTATTTTAATTAAATATGACTGTGTACATATTTGTTTAAAAAATAGTACATAATGTATTCTATATATAAATTGAATTAATAATAATAGTACTTGACTATTTTTTAGAGTTCTGATAAAGATATTTTGGAAAAATATTAACGAAATTAGTAAAACATGTAATAAACATACATGTATATAATTGTAATAATTTTTTTTCCCTCTATTTTCCTATAATTCAATACAAATCTCAATTTATAAATTATTGACTTGTTTATAAATAAATATAACAATAAGTAATTATTAGACGGAACTAAAATATTAATTAATAAATTGTATATTATAAATAATAAACTACTTCGGAAAAAATTAACTATTAAAAATATTTTTAATTTATTATTAATTTGTTTATGAGACAAAACTTCTAAAATACAGCTAAACTTTGAATTAAATACAAATATTTACTAATAAATAAATATAATACTATAAATGTAATATTAATATAATAAATATGATACTAATATTTATAAATGTAATTCGTACTATGTTTGTGCACAAACACAACATATAAATAATATATAAACACAAATATTTTGATCTCAAAGAAATGGATTCACACAAAGTCCACATAAATTTGATCTTTTTACTTTGATCCCCAGTTCCATGAAAGAGAATTAATCATAATCACTCAATTCATTGATTGTAGTGATTAAGATAAAATTAAGCTAATTATTTATATCAGTAAATATTCACCGATTTTAATGATCTGAAAATATTTTGTCAATATTGGTATTTTGAACAACTCTTCTCCTTTACATGCTTTCGCCACAGTAACCTTGACAAAATATTTCAAGGTCATCAAAATCGACGTGAAATGGGTAATAAAAGCAATTATCTAAATTGTGTTACTTGCATAACTTTGGAAAAAAGTTGTGTGTTAAGAAAAGAATGTTTAATTTAGGTATAAAAATTCTTAGGAATTCATTTCATTAACAAACAATGTTGGAAATGATAGTTGCTTCATTTTCTAGCATACTTCTATAATAGCTGTTACACAACGTTGCTAATAACCACTGACGTAGCTAGCTAGGGACCTAAGTATGCTTCACTAGAGTGTTGAAATTGTTAAATTATTAAACTACTAAATTAATGAAATTATTAAAATTTTAATAAACTTGTTATGATTATAACAGTTTGTTATAAATAAAATTGTTAAAATTTCATCTGATAAGAGAGAAAGGAATTATTGGTCCAAGTGTGATATGTAGTTAACTAAATACAAACAAAGAAAAGCAATAATATTTGTATTGTTCGATAGTATGAATAAATGTTATGTAACGATAAAAAATATTAAATATTTGACAGGATTGGTAAAAGTAAGTAAAAGTAGTCCTAATCCCCCTCAGACAAAAATTCTTGTTACATCAGTGCTAAAACATGTACGTAAGTACATATGCAAAGTAGCAAACTCAGGAACAAAGTAGTTTTTTTTTTACTTCTTTATTTCAATTTGTCGTTTTCATATTAGAAGGTTAAATATACAATTTGAGTTTGTATAAGCCCAAACACTTCATATCTAAATATCTAAATTTCTACACTCATGGATATCTTAATTAGTAAGTTTATTAGTTTCTAGGTTTCGTAGTGTCTATCTAAATTCTTATATGCCTTAATTCCTGAATATCTAATTTTATAATTTTCTGAATTTCTAATTTCCTAAACTCCTGAATTCCTAAATTTCTGAGTACATAAATTCAGAAATTCCTAAATTTCTAATTTGCTAAATTTCAAATTCCCAAATTACCAAATTTCTAAATTCTCAAATTACCAAGTCCCAAAATTTCCTCATTTCCTAATTCCCTAATTTCCCAATTTCCCAATTCCCTAATTTCTCAATTCCCTAATTTCCTAATTCCCTAATTTCCCAATTCCCTAATTTCCCAATTTCCTAATTTCCTGATTTCCCAATTTCCTAATTTCCCAATTTCCCAATTTCCCAATTTCCTAATTTCCCAATTCCCTAATTTCCTAATTTCCCAACTCCCCAATTCCCCAATTCCCCAATTCCCCAATTTCCCAATTCCCTAATTTCCCAATTTCCTAATTTCCCAATT